GGACAAATCTATGGAGCACTCATGTTGTCAATACTTGCAGCATGAACACACACAACAATCTGTAACTAACTGTCTTGTCATGTATGTGTCTGTATGCTTGCTTTCTAGGGATCTAGAATACTAATGTAACTACTGTACTTCCAATTAGTATACAGCTATTACTTACAGAATAAAAGCGTCTTACATAAAATTTGGCTTGAGGTAACCTAAGTTTCTATAAATGTACATCATTTAAGCAACCTATAGATATATATTCTCAACTATTCACCTAAAAAGTAAACTATGCAATAAACTGGATAAAAATTAAATTAATTAAATGTTTGTTACATTCCTAGAAAATCCATAACCTTTTCTTCAGGTTTACACATTCAAAGAGACAAAAATGATGAGTTTTTTAATCATTGATTACAAAACACGGGATTCCATAGACAATATGGCCTGTTTTAATTAGATATTTAATTTTGATTTTATAGGACTACAAACGTGTGGTGTTTATAAATGTTGGTGAAGTAAAATATTTTTCATGTGGACTTGCAAAACAGATAGTACTTTTCTTGATACAGTTTAATTTCAGTTCTTAAGCTTTATTCCAACTAAAAGTTTTTCGGAAAATAAAATGCTCAAAAATTGAAAACATTTTTTCATTAGAATTAATGTTAAATTGATTATTCTTTTTCTTAACTACATGACTGTTTACATACTTCATACATACCACAGAGGAAAAAATCAATGCATAAGGTACTGATTTTACAACCTTATTAAATCAACAACAAAAAAAAAAAAAAAAATAGAATGAGCACAAGAATAGATAAATTATTGATTAAAATGTGATCTCTCGTGACCTGCATGAAAAAGAGCTGCCAAAAATGAAATAAAAAAGAATTGTCTACTCCTTTTGAGGGTATTTCAGTTCTTGCGATTGTAGCTCATTCTTGTTGTCCTCCACTAATTTCTTCACATCACTCTATCAATTTCCAATTCCATGCTGCCGCCCAGAGACATAAATTATAACAGCAACAGACTCTGCCTATAAGCCTGCAGTCTCTGTCTGCTACATTCTGGCTACAACTTTCTCCAGGCCAAGTTCATAGTCCTATAAGTTACTTGCATCCAACCTCTGTCAGTGATCGTAAGCTATGGAGGATGTTGATCTGAGGTAAAAACATCTTTAAAACACAGTGTTTTGGTGTATAGTTTTCTAAAGCTGATCTGCTGGCCCATTACCTGGATCTGAGTCGTGTTAGTGGGCAGGAGTCACACTGCAACAACATTCAAATTCCTCCACCATCTCATCTTTCAAGCCTGCTAAGAAGGAGCATTGTTAAACAGAAAATAGTCATGAAAGAACAATGCACATTCAAGCAGGAATCTGCATTGAACAACAGCTGTTCTTACACTAATTCTCACCCTGTCAAGTGCGTGTTTTCAGGATTTGCTGTTCAGAAACTGAGACATTTCTCCCAAAAAATGTGTCCAGAAAGGGAATTATTCCAGATGAAAGGATTTAAGGAACTGAGGTTTCATTGTATTTATTTCATTGTTACCAACTAAACAGAAATTTTGTATACAAACTTATAACTTATTTTTATATCTCACATAAAGCAAAAATTTTTATTCTATATAAGAACACTATTTTTGCATCCATCTTGTGTTTAAGTCTTTCACATATCACATCTGCATCAAACCTTATGTAATCAGTAACACTGCATTTATATGGGTACAGCTATAAAGATATAAATACTTGTAGGGTCAATTTTGACCACAAACTCTTGAGTCAGGGAAAAAGACCCAATGGTCTTGTTCTCAAATGCTTCATAAAGTTGATAACCATGTGGGTTGGTAAGGCTTAGGTCAGATAATGATGTCTTGTATGGCGATGGCACTCCCTGGTTGTCTTGGTTTAATATACCAATCGCAACTGATCCTGGTCTGGCCAATTTTTTTATCCAAACTGAAATGGAATTGGGGACCTATAGAAGACAAATATTCCAGTTTTAGATATTTGCTGTATTTTGACAAGACACCAGAAGTAATAAAGGGATAACATGAGACATCAGAAGTAATGAAGGGACAAAATGAGACATCAGAAGTAATGAAAGGTCAAGATGAGACATCAGAAGTAATGAGGGGACAAGATGAGACATCAGAAGTAATGAGGGGACAAGATGAGACATCACAAGTGATTAGGGGACAAGATGAGACATCACAAGTAATGAGGGGACAAGATGAGACATCACAAGTAATGAAGGGACAAGATGAGACATCACAAGTAATAAAGGAACAAGATGAGACATCAGAAAAAATGAAAAGACAAGATAGGACATCAGAGGTAATGAAGGGACAAGATGAGATATCAGAAGTAATGAAAGGACAAGATAAGACATCAGAAGTAATGAAAGGACAAGATAAGACATCAGAAGTAATGAAAGGACAAGATAGGACACCAGAAGTAATTAAGGGACAAGATGAGACATCAGAAGTAATGAAGGGACAAGATGGGACATCAGAAGTAATGAAGTGATAAGATGAGACATCAGAAGTAATGAGGGAACAAAATGATACATCAGAAGTAATGAGGGGACAAGATGAGACATCACAAGTAAATGAGGGGACAAAATAAGACATCAGAAGTAATGAGGGGACAAGATGAGACATCACAAGTAATGAGGGGACAAAATGAGATATCAGAAGTAATAAAAGGACAAGATGAGACATCAGAAGTAATGAAGGGACAAGATGAGACATCAGAAGTAATGAGGGGACAAGATGAAACATCAGAAGTAATGAAAGGACAAGATGAGACATCAGAAGTAATGAAGGGACAAGATGAGATATCAGAAGTAATGAAAGGACAAGATAGGACATCAGAAGTATGAAAGGACAAGATGAGATATCAGAAGTAATAAAGGGAGAAGATGAGACATTGGAAGTAATGAAGGGACAAGATGAAACATCAGGAGTAATGAAAGTGCAAGATAGGACATCAGGAGTAATGAAGGGACAAGATGAGACTTTAGAAGTAATGAAGGGACAAGATGAGATATCAGAAGTAATGAGAGGACAAGATGAGACATCAGAAGTGATGAGGGGACAAGATGAGACATCAGAAGTAATGAGGGAACAAGATAAGGCATCAGAAGTAATGAGGGGACAAGAATAGACATCAGAAGTAATAAAGGGACAAGATGAGACACCAGAAGTAATGAAAGGACAAGATAAGATATCAGAAGTAATGAAGGGACAAGATGAGATATCAGAAGTAATTAAAGGACAAAATGAGACATCAGAAGTAATGAAGGGACAAGATGAGACATCAGAAGTAATGAAGGGACAAGATGAGATATCAGAAGTAATGAAAGGACAAGATGAGACATCAGAAGTAATGAAAGGACAAGATAAAACATCAGAAGCAATAAAGAGACAGGAAAAGACATCAGAAGTTATAAAGGGGAGAAATGGGACAACAGAAGTAATGAAGGGACAACAACATGAGACATCAGAAGTAATGAAGGGACAAGATGAGACATCAAAATTAAAAAAATGGACAAGATGAGACATCAGAAGTAAGCAGGGACAAGATAAGACAACAGAAGTAATGAAAGGACAAGATAAGACATCAGAAGCAATAAAGAGAGAGGAAAAGACATCAGATGTTATAAACAGACAAAAAGAGACATCAGAAGTAATGAAGGGACAAGATGTGACATCAGAAGTAATAAAGGTACAGGTGAGACATTAGAAGTAGTGAAGGGACAAGATAAGACATCAGAAGTAATGAAGGGACAAGATGAGATATCAGAAGTAATGAAAGGACAAGATGAGACATCAGAAGTAATGAAAGGACAAGATAAAACATCAGAAGCAATAAAGAGACAGGAAAAGACATCAGAAGTTATAAAGAGGAGAAATGAGACAACAGAAGTAATGAAGGGACAACAAAATGAGACATCAGAAGTAATGAAGGGAAAAGATGAGACATCAAAAATAAAAAATGGACAAGATGAGACATCAGAAGTAAGCAGGGACAAGATAAGACAACAGAAGTAATGAAAGGACAAGATAAGACATCAGAAGCAATAAAGAGAGAGGAAAAGACATCAGATGTTATAAACAGACAAAAAGAGACATCAGAAGTAATGAAGGGACAAGATGTGACATCAGAAGTAATGAAGGGACAGGTGAGACATTAGAAGTAGTGAAGGGACAATATGAGACATCAGAAGTAATGAAGGGACAAGTGTTCATTGCACAAACACAGGGAAAGTGGAAAAGGTAGAGAGAGAATATTTCACTTATAATAAATATGTAGCATTAATAGCATAAATATGTGGAGAGTGAATAGATGAAATGAACTCAATAATATTGTATTGATAAACACCAGGAGAGGAGTGAATAGATTATATGATCTCAATAGTATTGTATGGATAACCACCTGAGGGGAGAGAATAAATGATATGAGCTCAATAATATTGTACTGATAAACACTTGAAGTAATATTTTACATTTCTGGAAATATAAAGATTAAGAGAACAGGAAGTCAACTCCACATGTTGATTCCGGGTTCTCATAGTGGAGGACAAAAACTATACAACAACTAACCACAAGAATGATGCAAAAAGTGAATAATGAATAACAAATCTAATAATTATAATAATAATATTAATAATAATACTAAGAAGAAGAAGAAGAAGAACGAGGAAGAGGGAGAAGAAAAAATGAAGAAGAGAGGGAGGAGAAATGAGCAGAGGGAAAAGAAGAAAAATACTAAATGTCCATTATTCATTGCCATTAGCAGTTAAAATTTGGTTGCCATTTGTTCTAAAGTGGCTTAGGTTGCTCTTCTCCGCATGTTTTATTGTTTGACAGTAAGCAATAATTTTAACTGAGTGTTATTTCAGTCATGGCGACAAGGTGCCAAAACGATAGGACTATAAGAAGAGATTTAACAGAAAATAAATTATAAAACTGTACAGAAATACTGTATGTGTTGTGAACTTTACCCCAAACAGTCGAACAGCCTGGTTGCCCAGCGGATCTTGGTTGATGGCAATGATGTTTTTGTTTAGAAGCAGTTGTTTGGCTGCAGGATCCACAGAACGGAGGTCCAATGACATCATCAAGGGAGAGGCAAACAAGGCCCACATTCCAAACTGGGCTTTCTGCTGGTAGTAGCTCAGACCATAGTCGCCAACCACAAGCTACAGAAGATCATGAACAACATAGTCACTGACTGCAGTTATATAGTAGTTTGTAGTAATGCAATAGGGCACAGGTTCTCAATAAGATAGGATCCGCTGACCCCTCTATTGAAGGTCTGCCACAGACCCCATACTTTTTAATAGCCATATTTAAAAAAAAATGTAAATCTATTTCAGATTTACACATAAAAAAACCTTGAATATGTTCTATGGACTAGATCCATGAACCCTCAACTGGGTACCACTGCAATAGGACATCATCAACAATTGTCTTAATTTCTATGATACTAGTGGGTATATGCACGTCTGTGCAGCAAAGTGGTTTGGCAGTTTGACTTGCACACTAAAGGCCATGTATTGCGTTGTGGATTCCTTCTCTGAGTTTGTGAGTGCTGGTCTTTTAGAAATCCCTGGGAATCCTTGCTGGGGCTACAGAGTTCATGCTTTGTGTGAAACCCTTGGTGAAACAGCCACCTTGAGGAGAGTGACCAGGCCATGAAGAAAAAACCGGTATATTGAAGTTAATCCTCTCACCTATCAACATCTCAAACTTGTATGACTTCAGGTGTTTCAGTCAGGGTGGAACCCAGTATGTCATTCATAACTTGGACACTAATGAAGATATGGCAACAAAAATTTGGAGTGGACTTACCTCCATTTACATAAAATAAGTTCTTTGAACTGGAACACACAAGGTGAAAAGAAAAAATGAACACAATAAACACAGAGAAGGGAACTAGAAAGTAAAGTCAGAAAGATAGGGAGAACATGGAACCAGCTGCATGCTAAAGCAAATTATAAGATGACTTGTCATGAGCAGCTTGAGGGTGTATGCTCCACTGAGGCAAAAAGAGCAAAAGATGAAGACAAACTATACAATAAGCAAGGAATCAAGTTAAATTGTTTCTGGCAGCAATATCGAAAAGGAAACATCCACATAAAAAAAAAAACAGTTGAATGAATAAATTAGCTACCTCGTCTGGGTCATTCCAGCCACCAGGGCCTGCATATGCACTAAAGTTGCCAGGATCTTTGCCATAATGCTCTATGATATCCAAAACAGACCCCCAGCTATCCTGCACATCGTCATAGTTTCTCCACTGGTTGCAGGTTTCCCTCACAGCAGCATAGTCAGGCTGAGAACAAAATAGTGCAAGAAAACTTGAAACTGATTTTTTAAAATTATGCATAGTAAATGGATACAGTAATGTTTTAAATAAATGTAAAATTATTCATTAACTAAAAAAAAATCAATTGTTCTTCAAGTTATTTTTTTTTTTATGTCTATGGTTAAACCTTTTTGAAGGTTAAATTCAAGAGGATTGATTTCACTGCACCGGGTTCTATCCCATATGGTTCGGTCACTTTCCACAGAGCAACTAGTCACCTGCCGAGAGTACTGCACAAAGCATGAATTCTGTAGCTCCGGTGACAATCCCTAGAAATCTCCGTAAAAGTTGCACTCGTGAAATGAATGGCGCCATCATGAAACAAACCCATAACCTTCAGAGCCCACGGCAAACAGCTTGACCACTTTGCCACGGAGACCGAAACTTATAGTGAGTTACAGTGTTACCATTTGTTTTTTTTTTATTGTGGGCCCAGCTACCACACAGGACTACAAAAATTATCCACACAGGACTACAAAAACTATTAACACAGGACTACAAATATACCACATAGGACTAGAAAAACTATTCCATGCAGGACCACAAAAACTGTACCATGCAGGACTGCAACAACTATCCACTCAGAACTACAAACATTATACCACCCAGAACTAAAAAACTATCCACAGAAAGCTACAAAAACTATACCACACAGAACTACACACAGAACTACAAAAACTATACCACCCAGAACTACAAAAACTATACCCTGCAGCACTACAAAAACTATACCACCCAGAACTACAAAATCTATACCAAGCAGAACTACACAAACTTTATCACACAGAACTACACAAACTATACCAAGAAAAACTACAAAAACTATACCAAGGAGAACTACAAAACTATACCACACAGAACTACAAAAACTATACCACAGAACTACAAAAACTATACCACAGAGAACTACAAAAACTATATCACCCAGAACTACAAAAACTATACCACACAGAACTACAAAAACTATACCACCCAGAACTACAAAAACTATACCACTCAGAACTACAAAAACTATACCACCCAGAACTACAAAAATAATACCACCCAAAACTACAAAAACTATACCACCCAAAACTACAAAAACTATACCACCCAGAACAACAAAAACTATATCATGCAGAACTACAAAAACTATACCATGCAGAACTACAAAAACTATACCACACAGAACTACAGAAACTATACCATGCAGAAATACAAAAACTATACCATGCAGAAATACAAAACCTATACCACCCAGGACTACAAAAACTATACCAAGCAGAACTACAAAACTATACCACAAAGAACTACAAAAACAATACCATGGAGAACTACAAAAACTATACCATGCAAAACTACAAAAACTATTTCACCCATAACTCCAAAAACTATTTCACCCATAACACCAAAAACTATACCACCTAGAACTACAAAAACTATACCACCCAGAACTACAAAAACTATACCACCCAGAACTAAAAAACTATACCACCGAGAACTACAAAAACTTTACCACCCAGAACTACAAAAACTATACCACTCAGAACTACAAAAACTATACCACCCAGAACTACAAAAATAATACCACCCAAAACTACAAAAACTATACCACCCAAAACTACAAAAACTATACCACCTAGAACAACAAAAACTATATCATGCAGAACTACAAAAACTAAACCATGCAGAACTACAAAAACTATACCACCCAGAACTACACCATGCAGAAATACAAAAACTATACCATGCAGAAATACAAAACCTATACCACCCAGGACTACAAAAACTATACCAAGCAGAACTACAAAAACTATACCACAAAGAACTACAAGAACTATACCATGGAGAACTACAAAAACAATACCATGGAGAACTACAAAAACTATACCATGCAGGACTATAAAAAACTACTCCAGTAAATATAAGATTCCCTCTTACCTACCCCTGATGGCTTAAAATTACATTCATGTAATAATAAAGTAGGCTATTTGACATTTTGTTGTAAAATGTGAGACAAGTTTACTTTTTAAATACCCCAGCTTATCATCATCATGTTGCACCATTATACGTCACACAGGGCTCAAAGTCTATTTCTCCATTCCATTCAATCCTGTGCAATCCTTTCACCATCATGGAAATCCAGTCTGGCACACTTAGCCTCTCTCAGCATTCATTTCAAGGTTTCTCTTGGACCTCCTTGTTTCTGCAATTCATTTGTTTCCCATTTCATACTTTGTGGTGATTCTCTCTTCATGTGTCCTCAAGATGTGCTCAGTATAGTGCCATATTCTTTGTCTTATAATTGATGATTCCAGCAGTTGTCAGATATTTCTCTTATTTCTTCACATGTCTTGTACTCATCACATCTAATGACTTGACTAATTGACTTGACACATGTCTGTCCAAGCTGATGATGTATAACACTGATTAACTTGACACATGTCTGTCCAAGCTGATGATGTATAACACTGATTAACTTGACACTTGTCTGTCCAAGCTATGATGTATAACACTGATTAACTTGACACATGTCTGTCCAAGCTGATGATGTATAACACTGATTAACTTGACACATGTCTGTCCAAGCTGATGATGTATAACACTGATTAACTTGACACATGTCTGTCCTAGCTAATGATGTATAACACTGATTAACTTGACACATGTATGTCCTAGCTAATGATATACAATATTGACCGACTTTCTTATTCTTCTATTTTTAAACTAGAAATCACAACAGCACAGTAGCTAAATACTTGGCTACTGGACTTGGGTCTGAATCAGAAACAAGGCAGATTTTTTAAACTGACCTTAGCTCGCAGGTCAACCTAGCTTAAAATAGCTACCAGAAACTGTTCTAGGAAGTAAAAGTGAACAGGCATCATGATGTTGACCACACCCCCAAAAAGTGCCAACTGGTCTATAAAATAAAAGTGCCGACTGGTCTATAAAATAAAAGTGCCGACGGGTCTATAAAAAAAAGTGCTGACTGGTCTATAAAATAAAAGTGCCGACTGGTCTATAAAATAAAAGAGCCAACTGATTTATAAAATAAAAGTGCCGACTTGTCTATAAAATAAAAGTGCCGACTGGTCTATAAAATAAAAGTGTCGACTGATCTATAAAATAACAGTGCCGACTTGTCTATAAAATAAAAGTGCCGACTGGTCTATAAAATAAAAGTGCCAACTGGTCTATAAAATAAAAGTGACGACGTGTCTATAAAATAAAAGTGCCGACTTGTCTATAAAATAAAAGTGTCAACTGATCTATAAAATAAAAGTGCCGACTGGTCTATAAAATAAAAGTGCCGACTGGTCTATAAAATAAAAGTGCTGACTGGTCTATAAAATAACAGTGCCAACTGGTCTATAAAATAAAAGTGCTGACTGGTCTATAAATAACAGTGCCGACTGGTCTATAAAATAAAAGTGCCGACTGGTCTATAAAATAAAAGTGCCGACTGGTCTATAAAATAACAGTGCCGACTTGTCTATAAAATAAAAGTGCTGACTGGTCTATAAAATAAAAGTGCCAACTGGTCTATAAAATAAAAGTGTCGACTTGTCTATAAAATAAAAGTGCCGACTTGTCTATAAAATAAAAGTGCTGACTGGTCTATAAAATAAAAGTGCTGATTGGTCTATAAAATAAAAGTGTCGACTGATCTATAAAATAACAGTGTCGGCTTGTCTATATTGCACCATATGCCAAATGTATGAAAGGAGTACAGATTCTCCAAAAACTCAGGACAGGTCATTCATATTCATGATTGGTTTAATTCTGCAAGTAAAGTTCTAACAAGATGAAATTCTAATCCTCCTGATCCACTTTTAAGACATGCTTGAATTATACTACCCTTATGGCCCTCAGTAGCACATTAATGACACCTGTGATTGGGCAACAGTGGTGTGTTTACAATAGTCCATTCTACATGATATTCTCATCATGAACTGCAATAGTCTGCAATGAATGGGTTTAGTTTTGCACACATATATCCATCTATGTTTGAGCACTAGTAAAGAGAAATTGTATATACTTTCACAAATGCTATCATCATCTTTATTAAGTACCATGGTTTCCTACATCTGCAACTGTTAACAGCATAATTGAGTTTGTGTGCTGACACCCTTCTTTGCCATGACAAAAGGCTGTCATAAATCTTCTTCCATTGCCTTTCCGCCATCTTTTTTTTAACCCCCCAAAAATACTTCAAGTTGTCACAGCATGCTCCGGTTTTCCCCTCTCATAACGTGCTGTCATGACCCTATTTGGACAAGAGTCATGCCATAGGGTCGAGCAAGCTTATAGTACAAGATATACACAGCCTGATGGGACAAGGACTTTGGGAATAAGCTGAAAGCTGGAGGTGGACTTCTGGGAAGAAAAGGTGCCTGGTGTGAGATCAACCACATCCTCTACTGAGTGCTGATCAGTGTAAAAATATGAGGCCAGCACCACATACCCAATACACCTCCTGGCAGAAAAATAGGTTCTTTACTTTTACTTTCTGCACTTATGGAATGTCCTGAGTGCTGTAATGTTGTTCTTAACTCAACTAATGTTACCTTATAAATTCATGTCATGTACATATCAGTAAATGATAACACAAATAATGTCCAGAACGAACCTTAAGTCCGGCTCCATACATGTAGCCTGGCCATTGGCAGGTAAACAGTATTGGCCGGCCAGTCATGTTGAGAAAGCGGCCCATCACAGGATACCCTGTCAAATGGAAAATTGTATATCCTTAATACAACCATGAGGGTTGAAATGGATATTATTTATGGGATTACTACTACTACTGCTGCTGCTATGAGAAAACAAGTCAAAATTTCAAACTGTGATGGCTTTCAATATTTCTGAGATCCTAGCAAGTATAAAATGAAAAGCAATCTAGATGTTGGCTGTAAAATCTCTGGTTATCTAGAGGAAAGTATACAATATCAGTGTAGGTTATAGCTGTAATATCTATAAAAACCTATATAAACATTTTTTTAAAATAGTGATACAGATGACTGCTTTAACTCTTTGAGTCCCTGGGGGTTAAACATCAGAGCCCCAAGGGGTGGTAACGCAATTGTTTTATTTCACAAGTGTAACACATTAAAACGGACAATACTAATTTCATTGCAGTGCAATATACATGAAAGTGGCCTATTATTGTTGAGGAATATTATTATACTGCTATAAAAATAGTTTTAGTAGTTAATTATTAGTAAATAAACATGTGGTATGCTTGGAGAAATTAGTAAAAAGAAATAATAATGTTTTCCACTTACCACCAAGGCACTCAAGGAAAACTCAATAAAACATGTTTAAAATGAATCACAAATGAACACGAACCACTCAGTAATGTAGAAATAAAATATAAACACAATCTGTCTATTAGATCTTGTTCCAGAGAAACTTCTAGAACATTTAACAGATCATCATTTTTTGGGTAAAGAAAAATTACCTCTAAAAACAATATTTTCACACAGAAAAGCAAACTTTATATAACACTCAGTTTGCCCACAATTGTATAGCCTATGTTCCCAAATATTAAGGAAATCACACAAGACCTAACGAACACTGAAGAATATTGCCATTTTTTCACCAATATTTATTCTTTTTGTACCAGCTGACTTTCTTAACTTTTTACACTGTGCATGAGGTATATATCAGAGATATCCCTCATCAAAGTTTGACTCTTTCAATGACTGAAACAAGTCTACTTCATAACTTTCAGCCACGTGGCAACTGGGTAGTAACCGATTAGAGTGTGTTGCATTCCTTGGGACTCAAAGAGTTAATCATCTCTATAATAATATTCATGAAAGTATACAATGGTTATGTAGATGACTGCAGTATTATCTACAACCTAAATGAACATATACAGTGGTAATGTAGACTGCTGCAATGTCTCTTTGACATTGTACATCTCATAGTATAATGGTTATGTAGAGCCCTTGAGGTTCACTGCTGCTGATTTCATCCACCTCCATCAATCTCTCTGCCTTCTCTTTCCAGTTGAAGACACCAAGTGTTTGTAGGTCTGTCTAGATATTTTCTCTCCATTGTAGGTCTGTCTAGATATTTTCTCTCCATTGTAGGTCTGTCTAGATATTATCTCTCCATCGTCTTCTTGGTCTGCCTTGTGATCTATGACCATTCATCTCTCTTGTAATTACAGTTTTTATTTCTCTGTCATCTTGACATTCTCTCAATATGTCCCAGCCATTTCAGTAAATTAGTCCTCATGATGCCAGTGATCAGCGGTGATTTAAACAGATTATGAATTTTGTTGTTGCTTCTCACTCTCCATTCTCTCGCTGTTCACATCTTTGATGGGGCCAAATATTAGTCATACACAAAATAATACATTGGCAATACAGATGGCCACCCATTCAATGTTAGAAGCATTTTCCTCTTCATAGCTTCAGAAAAGATTTGTTTTACCTGTTAGGAGATTGATTTTTTTTTTGGTTGTTGCCTTCTCCCATCCATATGGTTTTGCACAATCTTAAGCTGCCAATTTATAATGTTTGACTTCCCTTAAATTCTATCCTGTACAATTACTTTTATTTCATGGATGGAATCCTGTTCAGCATCTTTAGTTTCTCTCATCAACTAGTTAAATGGCAGTTCTCAAATATTCTACCATATTTATGTCTATTCAATCTAATACAAAAAAATAAAAGAAAGGTGAAGAAATTCCTGGAATCCGTTGGTATCATCTGCCATAATGGCAACCAGGTGCTGATGTCCTGAGAACATTCCTGGGTGAAGCAGACAAAGAATCACTGAAATGGGAAGCAAATGGACTGAAGAAGCAAGGATGAGGTATGTACTAGACATTATACACAAATAAACTATGTTTAACATACAATAGTACAACAAAATGACAATGAACGTACCATAAGGCATATCCGCAGGATCTGAATTGCAGCCATCAAACTTGAGACTGTCAATTTCCCATTCAGCAAAGGTCTTGGCATCAGTCTCCAAGTAAAATTCACTACCTGGATACCCTGCACATGTCTTAGAGCCAAAGTCTTCATAGATTCCCAGCTTAAGGCCCTTTGAATGAACCTGGTTTTTAAACATACTTTATATTAGGTACACTTTTCTCAGACTGAAATTATATATACAGTATGTATCACACGGCAACATCTCTATGTATTGAAGTCTTAAATATATTTCTACTCAATTTTTTAGCAGAATGGGCCATTCTTAGAATGAGAAATGAAATAATTAAGCGACACATGGCTTATCTAAAATGTAAATTCGAATATTCATACTATATATCTTAGTGATCAAGCTCTTGTTAATTCCATGAAGTATTATTTTGATTTTTCTTACATACACAGGACTGCAGGATACATCAGGAGTAGCTGTTCCAAATGCTCTTATTAGAACTTCTGTTGGTATCTTGGATTTGCCTTGTTGGACTGTCATCCAGGATGTGAAACTCAAGTCATAGGTATGGTTAAATCATCAGGTAGCAGCTGGGTGGAAGAGGGAAAGGGGTGTGGCGGAACAGATCATTGTTTCTGTTCTAAAACAACATAGTGTGCACTGACTGTGCTGATTTCATGCTGTTTTAATTCCAAAACAACACAGTGAACTGAATGTTTTGATTTAACCACAAATGTGTCACTAAAATGTATAACATATTAAGTGACAAATGAGCTTATAATTTCTTACCCAAAAATAAATTACTGAAATATTTCAAGCTAAAACCCAGTTTCGTGGTTTTGTCATCTCACTGATACCAAGCTGTAACCCAGTGTTGTGGTTATCTGTATTTGTCTTAAACTTCTTGGGTGGTTTGAGTGATTGATATATTCACATTTTTGCAGGTTTCAGCTACACCATTTATCCAACTCTTTCTTGGTCTCCATCTCGCCTTCCTTCTAGATGCTCTACTGTAAAAAGTTGCATATGCAGTGTGGTCTAGCTGTATTCTCACTATATGGCCGAACCATTTTATTCTTTGTCCATCAATATATGGTCTTTTTTCAGCTTGCTCTCTAGTGCTGGTATCCGTAATCTTGTCTCGTCTAGTGTTGTTAGTAACCTTGCAAAGACGGCGCATTTCACATGTGGTTATTTTCTGTTCTGGTGCCCTACTCATTACTGGAATACTTGCAGTCACTCATTTGATGATGAAAGAAGGTAGCTGAGATTACTGCAAGCATTATATTAATATAGATCATTATTCATTACATGCATTTTGTATTATTTATTAAAGTGAATGCTAAGGGACTCATCTAAATGAAAATATGAATATTGCAATAAGCATGATAAAAAGAAAGAGGTTAAAACTGGTTCACGGAAAGATAATCAGTAAATCACAAAACTACAAATTTAAAAATGAAGGATGAATATAATATTGCAAAGCAAAATACTAATAATGTAAGCCCTTTTTATTCAACAGTTGTAAATATACATATGGATGGGTGGCATAATGTAGACACCACAGCTATATAAACCAGAAGAGTTAAACAGAATATTTATGACATAAATACTATTACTTGCTTTTCTTCATGTATCCCTAACATGATGCCATTCATCTACATTACATAATAAAAATAAAACTACTTCATTGCGATCTTCTGTCATTTTCATAATCTACACATGTGGTGTGTAGTAGTTTCTTTACTAAAACAATCAATGCAAAAATTTTAGATTTTTGTGCCAAATCTTTTGAGACTGAAAAAACCTGATCATGTATTTCAAAATGATTTCAGGAACAGGTAGGCAATAATACCAGGCCAGTACATCAAATGAGACAGCTTCACCAGGCAATCTTGCCAACACTGTAAAATGACTCAACTGCAGCCCAGAACTTTATAATACTCCATAACAGCTTCTTACTAACCACAAGCTAAGACTATGATTAGTTCAGATAGATAGATAGATAGATAGATAGATAGATAGATAGATAGATAGATAGATAGATAGATAGATAGATAGATAGATAGATAGATAGATAGATAGATAGATAGATAGATAGATAGATAGATAGATAGATAGATAGATAGATAGATAGATAGATAGATAGATAGATAGATAGATAGATAGATAGATAGATAGATAGATAGATAGATAGATAGATAGATAGATAGATAGATAGATAGATAGATAGATAGATAGATAGATAGATAGATAGATAGATAGATAGATAGATAGATAGATAGATAGATAGATAGATAGATAGATAGATAGATAGATAGATAGATAGATAGATAGATAGATAGATAGATAGATAGATAGATAGATAGATAGATAGATAGATAGATAGATAGATAGATAGATATAGATAGATAGATAGATAGATAGATAGATAGATAGATAGATAGATAGATAGATAGATAGATAGATAGATAGATAGATAGATAGATAGATAGATAGATAGATAGATAGATAGATAGATAGATAGATAGATAGATAGATAGATAGATAGATAGATAGATAGATAGATAGATAGATAGATAGATAGATAGATAGATAGATAGATAGATAGATAGATAGATAGATAGATAGATAGATAGATAGATAGATAGATAGATAGATAGATAGATAGATAGATAGATAGATAGATAGATAGATAGATAGATAGATAGATAGATAGATAGATAGATAGATAGATAGATAGATAGATAGATAGATAGATAGATAGATAGATAGATAGATAGATAGATAGATAGATAGATAGATAGATAGATAGATAGATAGATAGATAGATAGATAGATAGATAGATAGATCAGGCAGCAGAGAAATTAAAGATAAACTCACATATCTGGCAAGAGCTTGAATGCCATTAGGGAAGCGGACTGGGTCTGCCACTAATCTCCCATTACTGTCTCTCTCTTTAGCAGGCCAGCAGTCATCAATGTTTACATACTGGTAGCCGGCATCTCTGTAGCCTTCAGACACCATCAGGTCAGCCATTTTCATGTACAGTTTTTCACTAAAAGAAACAAGGTAACAGTGACCAAACTACAGAGGTCTTTTTGTCAGCTGTAACTCATTCTCTCCCAAATAACTCAACAACAGCTCAACAATAAGTCATTAAAAGTAACAGACCCAATTTTATACCTCTAGGAATACTGGGCAATATGAAGCTAGCCACATACGTAAATCGGCTATTCAGCACATAGTAGGTGATATAAACAGTACCATGGTATCTTGCTGGCCATCTTTCATAGACATTTTCCAAAATCCATTTTAGGTTGGGTTGCCCAGGAAGCAGAGATCAACTCTTACAAATCCACCTTGATAGAATCTTAAATCTATGGCCACCAAGCTGCCAGACAAGCAACTGTACTTCCACAGCTGCTAATGAAACTATGACTACAGCTAAACCATTTCTGGACTCACTCAAAACCAAGCAATCTGTCATATGTTCCTACAAAATGCATTCTTAAAGAATACTGGAAGCCTTTTAGGCATATAAGCACAGGGCTTCGGTGACTAAAAGTTGACTTCAGAACCACATGGGTCAATAACTTCTATTTTTTTTCTCCACTACAGACAGTGATGGACATTCTGTGTGGATTTTACTGGCATAGGAATAGAGCAATTATGGGCTCATCAATATGCTAAATGCTGAAACATGTTTTAACTTCAAAATAATATTAATGTACTCAGAGCACACCTAGTCTCTGTAGATATAGAGTACAAGTTATCTGCAGTAGGGTCAAATATCTGATCACAAAAACCCCACACGCCCAGTCCTAACATATTGTATGAAGCACAGTCACGTCAGTGTAGATTATACAGTCATGGTTTGCAGTGCTTTCAGATATCCTGTCCCAAATCTCAACTGTGCCACATTCAACACTTTCTGTCAAGCATAATGATGATAATGATAATAGTATGATTGTATAATAATGATGTTAATGATAATAGTAATGGTGCTCTGGCACTGGACACTCACATCTCACCATGTCTTAACACTGCCATTCTATTAACAATTCTTCTTCCTCAAATAAGTGAGATGTTTGAGGGAGAGAGGGATGTGTGCTCTTTCTAATGTACCATGTATGTTTTTGTTAATGTTTAAGGGAGAGAGGGATGTATGCTCTTTCTAATGTACCATGTATGTTTGTGTTTATGTCTGAGGGAGAGAGTGATGTATGCTCTTTCTAATGTACCATGTATGTTTTTGTTTATGTCTGAGGGAGAGAGGGATGTATGCTCTTTCTAATGTACCACGTATGTTTTTGTTTATTTCTGAGGGAGAGAGGGATGTATGCTCTTTCTAATGTACCACGTATGTTTTTGTTTATTTCTGAGGGAGAGAGTGATGTATGCTCTTTCTAATGTACCATGTATGTTTTTGTTTATGTCTGAGGGAGAGAGGGATGTATGCTCTTTCTAATGTACCACGTATGTTTTTGTTTATGTTTGAGGGAGAGAGGGATGTATGCTCTTTCTAATGTACCATGTATGTTTTTGTTTATGTTTGAGGGAGAGAGGGATGTATGCTCTTTCTAATGTACCATGTATGTTTTTGTTTATGTCTGAGGGAGAGAGGGATGTATGCTCTTTCTAATGTACCATGTATGTTTTTGTTTATGTTTGAGGGAGAGAGGGATGTATGCTCTTTCTAATGTACCATGTATGTTTTTGTTTATGTTTGAGGGAGAGAGGGATGTATGCTCTTTCTGATGTACCATGTTTGTTTTTGTTTATGTTTGAGGGAGAGAGGGATGTATGCTCTTTCTAATGTACCATGTATGTTTTTGTTAATTTTTCTAAAGTGTTTTAAATGGAGTCTCATTTTGAAATCTGTCTTCACTGCCTTTTATTTACTACTGCTTATGTGAGTGTTGGACAGGAGATTGTGGGGGAGGGGGGGGGGGGGGGGGGGGAGGGGGGGGGGGGGAAGGGGGGTGGGTGTGTGTTGTAAAAAATTACAGAATTCACAATTACCAAATGTGCAGCATAACAGGGGATGACTAAATTTACCAAAATAATTGGGCGGGGAGGGTGGGAGGTGGGAGGCTGAGAGTCCTTTTTAAAAATGGTTTTACTTACAGGAATTTTTACATCCTATTTTTCCCCCTAGCTCCACTGGTTACTGGGTCTGAGGATCGAGTAACTGTCAGTCTATCGTTAGTTTAGAGGCTCCAATAGAGGTAAGCCAGTTAATTCTACGCTGAATTTATTTTTTATTTATAAATCCCATTACTTCTTTTTTCTTTTTAAAGTTCAGGTCATGTGGAGTTTTGATAGTCATGTCTATACACAACCGTCTGTCTCGTGTACTTTCGATCAACTCTGACACAGATGATCTTCCATGCCATGATGTCCAGCTATCCAGCATCGGTTCTCTCAGTCTCCCTCTGCCTCTCCTCCCCTCCAACTTTCCTACCGTCACGATTTACTCCAGTTTTCTCCTTCTCATCACATGAACAAAGAATGTAGATTGTCTCTTTCTGATGTGAGCAATCAGTTTCTTTCATTACGCTATATTATCCCATTACTCTATATAGTATTTGTTCATGTTTTTAATGATACACAGATTATGTTTTTAATTTTTTATTTTGACAGTGTAAAATCGTCATTTTTTCCAAGCGATTTTGTTACAGGAAGTATCTAAAAAAAAAAGTTAGGGGTTTTAATTTCTCATTTTTTTTTAGATCACTGGGGGGGCCGGGGGGGGGGGGGGGGGGGGGGACACATTCCTAATGCAATATACATGAATGCAGCAAGTTATTCTTTTTTCATATCTCACTAAAAGCTCTTGAGAAACACACAGTATAAATTAGAATTCGTCTCTGTTGCTTTACCTGATACAATTATCTGGATCATTCTGACAGTCAACATTGCAGCGAAAGCGCTCCCATGACAACCAGCCCATAGGTGGTGTTAAAGCAAGTCCATTATCCAATGCCCCTACTAAACCACAGGCTAATGTTATTACACACAGTTTCAGGATCATTGTCTGTTATCTGGAGGAAATAAAAGACATGTTGATTACAACAGTTTAACAATGTCTCAGTATCAATACAGTTTAACAGTGTCTCAGTATCAATACAGTTTAACAATGTCTCAGTATCAATACAGTTTAACAATGTCTCAGTATCAATACAGTTTAATGATGTCTCAGTATCAATACAGTTTAACAATGTCTGAGTATCAATACAGTTTAACAATGTCTGAGTATCAATACAGTTTAACAATGTCTGAGTATCAATACAGTTTAACAATGTCTGAGTATCAATACAGTTTAACAATGACTCAGTATCAATACAGTTTAACAGTGTCTCAGTATCAATACAGTTTAACAATGTAACAATGTCTGAGTATCAATACAGTCTCAGTATCAATACAGTTTAACAATGTCTGAGTATCAATACAGTTCAACAATGTCTGAGTATCAATACAGTTTAATGATGTCTCAGTATCAATACAGTTTAATGATGTCTCAGTATCAACACAGTTTAACAATGTCTGAATATCAATACAGTTTAATGATGTCTCAGTATCAATACAGTTTAATGATGTCTCAGTATCAATACAGTTTAACAATGTCTGAGTATCAATACAGTTTAACAATGTCTCAGTATCAATACAGTTTAACAATGTCTCAGTACCAATACAGTTTAACGATGTCTCAGTATCAATACAGTTTAACAATGTCCCAGTATCAATACAGTTTAACGATGTCTCAGTATCAATATAAATTAACAATGTCCCAGTATCAAAACAGCTTAACGATGTCTCAGTGTCAATACAGTTTAACAATGTCTCAGTATCAATACAGTTTAACAATGTCTCAGTATCAATACAGTTTAACAATGTCTCAGTATCAATACAGTTTAACAATGTCTCAGTATCAATACAGTTTAACAATGTCTCAGTATCAATACAGTTTAACAATGTCTCAGTATCAATACAGTTTAACAATGTCTCAGTATCAGCACAGTTCAACGATGTCTCAGTATTAATAGTTTAAGAATGTCTCAGTATCAAAACAGTTTAACGATGTCTCAGTATTAATACAGTTTAACAATGTCTCAGTATCAATAGTTTAAGAATGTCTCAGAATCAAAACAGTTTAACAATGTCTCAGTATCAATACAGTTTAACAATGTCTCAGTATCAATAGTTTAAGAATGTCTCAGTATCAATACAGTTTAATGATGTCTCAGTATCAATACAGTTTAACAATGTCCCAGTATCAATACAGTTTAACAATGTCTCAGTATCAATACAGTTGAACAATGTCTTATGCATGAAGCCTGTCATGCATCAATTCATTATGCAACTTTTCTTGACCACTTTATTTATCATCGGTTTAAAAAAAAAAAATTTTATTAGCAATGTTTGTGCTGTCTTCCAAAACACTGGAAGTATGCAAAATTTAATGTTGTTATTATATATCTGTAAAGTTGAGACCAAAAAAAACAGTAAGTAAAGGACTTTTCCAAAACCCATGCCTTCAGGTATATTGGACAGTAAGTAAATATTGCTAACTCTATATATAATTATAGACCAGGCCTATTCAACCAGCAGCCCTAGGGTCAGATTTGCCCTGAAGCCCCACCTGGTGGCCTGCGGATCATTGCCAGTTGTATTACTGGTCCTTCTATTCTGGGGTCCAGTCCTCTGACCCGTAATGATTCCCACTTTCAACATTTGGTCCCTGAGTAAACTTAGCTAAACATCCCTGTTACAGACCAACAGGTACTCTGGAGGTAATGTGGTCAATACCATGCTTGCTGCCTTTACTTTCCCTGTACTCATTAAAGACTGGTCTGGCCTGGGAGTCAAGGTCTTTTTTTTTAAAGGTGGCTCTCTTTGAATTTGAACATTTGACTTTTAGATCTGCAGGCAAGATTATAGCAGGCTCCCATTAGCTGTGGGAATTATTTATTTCATAAAGTGAAGTTGCCGTTATTTATATTACTCAGGGGTTCTTGTGAGGTACAATAAATGAGGGTACTTGCTGCTGTTCTCAGCCCACCATTGTTGTTGCATGTTGAAGTAAAACTAACAAACCTTATCAATACCTGAACACATACTGGGTATTTAAAGCCAGCCCTATATTTTTTTTTTAACTAGACAGCATAATACAGATGATATGGTCAATATCCCACCTGCCAATTTTTTTTTTGGCATTCATTCATTGTCCTCTTGTGTGATTATATGTCATGTGGGGCTCACAGCCTATTTCTCCATTCCGTTCCGTCCCGTGCAATCTCAGTATCATTAATGGAATAGATTCCAGCACCTCTGGCTTCCCTCAGCAACATACAGGTGAGAGTTTCTCTTGGACTTCATCTTTTCCTCAATTCATTTATTTCTCATTTCACTGCCTGTTTGGTGATTCTCTGTTATCTCTTCTCACAGTGTGTCCAGTCTAGTGCCATCTTCTTTGCCACCATTTATCATCCACATTCTACATCATTTTCTCAATACCTCTGTCTCCATCCCATCATTGCTAGTTCTATACCTCTGTCTCCATCCCATCGTCAATTGTTCGATGCCTCTGTCTCCATCCCATCGTCAATTGTTCGATGCCTCTGTCTCCATCCCATCGTCAATTGTTCCATGCCTCTGTCTCCATCCCATCGTCAATTGTTCCATGCCTCTGTCTCCATCCCATCGTCAATTGTTCCATGCCTCTGTCTCCATCCCATCGTCAATTGTTCCATGCCTCTGTCTCCATCCCATCGTCAATTGTTCCATGCCTCTGACCTCATCCCATTATCAATTGTTCCATGCATCTGTCTCCATCCCATTGTCAATTGTTCCATGCCTCTGTCTCCATCCCATCGTCAATTGTTCCATGCCTCTGACCTCATCCTATTATCAATTGTTCCATGCCTCTGACCTCATCCCAATATCACTTGTTCCATGCCTCTGTCCTCATATCATTGTTGCTTGTTGAAGGCCACTGTCCCCATCCCATCATCTCTTGTTCTAGGCCACTGTCCCCATCCCATCATCTCTTGTTCTAGGCCACTGTCCCCATCCCATCATCTCTTGTTCTAGGCCACTGTCCCCATCCCATCATCTCTTGTTCTAGGCCACTGTCCCCATCCCATCATCTCTTGTTCTAGGCCACTGTCCCCATCTCATCATCTCTTGTTCTAGGCCACTGTCCTCCTCCCAGCTCTCTTGTTCTAGGCCACTGTCCCCATTCCATCATCTATCGTTCTAGGCCCTGTCCCCACCCCATCATCTCTTGTTCTAGGCCACTGTCCCCATCCCATCATCTCTTGTTCTAGGCCACTGTCCCCATCCATCATCTCTTGTTCTAGGCCACTGTCCCCATTCCATCATCTATCGTTCTAGGCCCTGTCCCCATCCCATCATCTCTTGTTCTAGGCCACTGTCCCCATCCCATCATCTCTTGCTCTAGGCCACTGTCCCCATCCCAGCATCTCTTGTTCTAGGCCACTGTCCTCATTCCAGCTCTCTTGTTCTAGGCCACTGTCCTCATTCCAGCTCTCTTGCTCTAGGCCACTGTCCTCATTCCAGCTCTCTTGTTCTAGGCCACTGTCCCCATCCCAGCTCTCTTGTTCTAGGCCACTGTCACCATTCCATCATCTCTTGTTCTACGCCACTGTCCTCATTCCAGCTCTCTTGTTCTAGACCACTGTCCTCATCTCAGCTCTCTTGTTCTAGGTCACTGTCCCCATCCCATCATCTCTTGTTCTATGCCACTGTCCTCATCCCATCATCTCTTGTTCTATGCCAGTGTCCTCATTCCATCCTCTCTTTGCTCTACGCCACTGTCCTCATCCCATCATCTCTTGTTCTACGCCACTGTCCTTCATTCCAGCTCTTTTGTTCTAGGCCACTGTTCCCAGCCTAACATCTCTTGTTCTATGCCACTGTCCTTATCTCAGCTCTCTTGTTCTAGGCCACTGTCCTCCTCCCAGCTCTCTTGTTCTATGCCACTGTCCTCATCCCAGCATCTCTTGTTCTAGGCCACTGTCCCCATCCCATCATCTCTTGTTCTATGCCACTGTCCCCATCCCATCATCTCTTGTTCTATGCCACTGTCCTCCTCCCAGCTCTCTTGTTCTATGCCACTGTCCTCCTCCCAGCTCTCTTGTTCTAGGCCACTGTCCCCATCCCATCATCTCTTGTTCTATGCCACTGTCCTCCTCCCAGCTCTCTTGTTCTATGCCACTGTCCCTATCCCAGCATCTCTTGTTCTAGGACACTGTCCTCATCCCAGCATCTATTGTTCTATGCCACTGTCCCCATCCCAGCTCTCTTGTTCTATGCCACTGTCCTCATCCCATCATCTCTTGTTCTAGGCCACTGTCCCCATCCCATCATCTCTTGTTCTATGCCACTGTCCCCATCCCATCATCTCTTGTTCTATGCCACTGTCCTCCTCCCAGCTCTCTTGTTCTATGCCACTGTCCCCATCCCATCATCTCTTGTTCTATGCCACTGTCCCCATCCCATCATCTCTTGTTCTAGGCCACTGTCCCCATCCCATCATCTCTTGTTCTATGCCACTGTCCTCATCCCATCATCTCTTGTTCTATGCCACTGTCCCCATCCCATCATCTCTTGTTCTATGCCACTGTCCCCATCCCATCATCTCTTGTTCTATGCCACTGTCCCCATCCCATCATCTCTTGTTCTATGCCACTGTCCCCATCCCAAAAATTTTATTAGCAATGTTTGTGCTGTCTTCCAAAACACTGGAAGTATGCAAAATTTAATGTTGTTATTATATATCTGTAAAGTTGAGACCAAAAAAAACAGTAAGTAAAGGACTTTTCCCCATGCCTTCAGGTATATTGGACACATATTGCTAACTCTATATATAATTATAGACCAGGCCTATTCAACCAGCAGCCCTAGGGTCAGATTTGCCCTGAAGCCCCACCTGGTGGCCTGCGGATCATTGCCAGTTGTATTACTGGTCCTTCTATTCTGGGGTCCAGTCCTCTGACCCGTAATGATTCC